GTGAAACTAATAAATACATTTCTGAATGTGTGTGATTAAAATGTGTATCTAAAATCTAAAAGTTAAAACTTGAAATCAAAGGATTTAAACATGTTAAAACAGTATAAGTGTTGAAAATGGGTGGGTGTAACGGCTGAACAGAGGGCTGGCGATAGTTTTTGTCTATCCTGAGTATGCTGAACTGGTCAGGTCAGGGTTCTTCTCAGAAAGCTGAGATGTATATCTGGATCCAAAGGGTTGATTCAAGATGTGAAACTGATCCATTAATGGAAGGCGAGTTGAACAGAATCTATTCTCATGGCCACAGTGTGGTAGGACAAGCTGCACTCATTCACAGATCGTTAAAAGGGCTTTTACATACTTACAACTCAAAAAACCAGACTATTGAAAGGTTTTATTAGCCACTTTTATTTTACTTTGGTAAACAAGGTTTGCATATTTCATTTTCTGTATTTCTTGAATATAACTGTTCAAACTAATTCAACATATTTAAAATACTATTCTACGTTTGTTGTTTTCTGGTTACTTATCCCTCAGAGGTTCCTAGGCTCATCTGAACTGGCCTAGGAATGTAATATTTCCAATAGTTGAACACTACCTTTTATTCTTGTTATCTGTAACCAGGTGATGCATTATTGGTTATACACGGCTGCCATTCAATTGGCGCCACCGGCCCTCTGACCACCACCAGCAGGTAAGGCAGGAGAAGTGTTTTGCCCACAGAAAGACTGAGACGGATGGAGCAGTGGGACAAACTCCTGAGCCACTGGCGCCTGAGCAACAATCTTTCATAACATAGGAAATTTAAGAGCTTCATAATTCCTAGCTTTTACACAGCAGGACAGGTAGACATATATTATTTGTGCCGCACACAACAATAAGAGTGGAAAGTCATTTATTGTGAGAATGTGCATGTCATCTTTTACACTCGTTATACTTTGTATTTTGTCAGTAGAAACTAAATCTGCGAGAGGTTTGAAGTCATCCTGGGAATATTTTGTTAGGATAAAGTCTGTTTACAATCATGTGTTTCTTTACACAAAGAAAGTTAATCTATAAACATGCCAATAAAAGGAAATTATGGCCTTAAACTTAATCCTAGGTAATTAGAGTTTCCTGGTTAATGTAAACTCCTAGATGCTACCAGAATTACTCGATGAGAACTTGAAAAAAGATCCACGCTGTTATATTTCTAGTAACTCTAAAGATTCAGACATTAGGTTGAGATGAGGTGAGGGGTGTGATGCTGTTTGCAATCTGCAACTTTATCAGGATATTTTATTAAACCAAACACATAAATCATTTTATTTTCTTTACTTATGTAGAAGCAGAATACAATCTATCATGATACATTTGTATGCTGATAAAAATCTACACGTTCTTTCTTTCCAAAAGCAGCAAAATTAACATCTTTTGACTGTAATAATTTATCTAAAGGAGCCAGTCAAGGAGCCATTTCTCAATATAAATACATATAGCAATTAAATATAGAAAGATAAAGTCGGTTGTCAGACCTTTCTTGGTAGTAGTGAAGTACTTGGAGTCTGTCATCTTGGATCCAAACTGTCTGTTCTCCTGCAAAAAGCAAGAGGATGAAACAGAATAACTGCAGGGTTTTCACCCAATAATATCCTTTAGTAGAGCAGCTGGAAATACTAGAAGTGCAAGCAAAGGAAAGTAAAAGGATTTCCTTTCCTTTCCTGAATAGATAGTGGCAGATTGGGAAAGAAAACAAAAGATTTTGCTGAGAAACCAGATTCTGATTGTCTTCCTTAGAGAGAAAATGTTGATATCAGCACAAACCGAGCCAACAGTAGTTTCTTCAGCCAACAGCGAGTTCAGGATGGAGAATGAACATTTCCACTTCATCAAGCTGCCATCAGCAAAAAATACTGGAAAACGCTTTATATTATAATAAAGAATTCAATGTAATATTTTTTTTTTTCTGTACGTTTCCAAGCATCCAAAACTATTAGGACAAAGTTACACAATTTCTTTTTTTTTTTTGGTCATGCCTATTCACTTAAGCAAAACAAACGATTAAATTTAAAGAAAGACCACAACAGACAAAACACAAGAATTTAGATAAAATCAAATACAGAAGGAATAGAGTAGACTGACAATACCGATTATGATAAACCAACATTTTCCTTATTGATCGCTTTTATTTATGCCATCATGATGTTTCCACCACTTTAGCATTTTGGTCGCTGTTATCCATATTATGTCCAAACAGACTTTGATTCTGATTACACACTATGGAGTTGCAGCTATAATTATTGACCTATAAAGCTAATCTTGGGAAAGCTCCTGCAACCTGCAGTCTAACCTCCAGCAACCTTATGAGCCGTTACTGATCACTTTGATTCTTCAAAGTTTTTTTCCTAAAAAACTTTGAGCAGGCTTCACCCTCTACTCCCTGAATCTAATTTTAAATCACTCAAATTGAAACATTTCTCATCCTTTTTTTAGGATAATTTTTTTGCGTCTTGCACTGTTGCTATGATGTAATATTTCTAACCCATTGTCTATGATACTTCTTCTACACAGAGTTTAGGAATAACATTGGCTTTTGTTTTGAATGTGCTGACCAAATAAATTTAATGTTTAAATTGCCTTTGTTTTCTGAGATGTCAGTCTGATGAATGCGCCAATATGTGAATTAAGACACACTTTCTTGATGTTTTTAGACTGATGTAATTTTAAGTCGATTATCATCTTGTAAGATCATCTTACATCCACGACAGCACAAAATCAGCCCAAGAATATCACAGGCAGAAAAACTCAAGCAGCGTCCAATATGTTTATTAAAGTCTTATTTGTACATACTTCTATGATACTAGTATTTTTATTTTTTTTTTACAAAAACAACTGCATATCCCCACAATCGAGTACTTACACGTTTTAAAACAACATTAAAATAATCGGTTTTGTGTCTACAAACTTTACTATCGTCAGCTCACGGCAGGTAGCTGTCAACAACCGACAGGTTGCTAGCTCCGTACCGCACTGTTAACAAAACTGACGAAGTAGCTAGCTGCTTACACTGCTGTTTAAAAGACTATTACTGGATATAATGTTCCACATCGACGCCTTAAGATTCTGCTTAATCATAAATTAGTAACGATAATGTCCACAGCAAGCTAACTTGAACAAATGGAACTTAGCCTCATAGAAGTAAAGCTGTTCGCTAACTGACTAGCATTGAGCTAAGGTGATGTTAGCGCAGTGAGCTCGAGTGAATACACAAACAAACACCAAAATATTTAGTTCAAGTCAACATAAAGTTAGCCAAATACAGCTATACGCGTAAGAAATCAAAGATTCTCTTCGCCCAGTTACTCACGCATAACTGACTGGCCCATTCCTGCATGTTTGCGGTAGTTCGGGTAGATGAATGAAACTGATGCTAAAGGCTAGCGGAGCGTCTGCTGTCAGTGTCGGCTAGCAGCTCAGACGTGACCTTCTAAGTCCAAGCTTAAGGAAGCCCTTCTCGGGATAGTTAAGCTCTTAATCTGTCAGCCTAATGCAAACCTCACCCCACGAATTACCGTACCTTCTGGAGTTGCACTGAAGCTCCCCACACCACCGTTTAAGAGAGAAAATCCCCACAAACACCTTACCGTTTCAGGCGTCGTAGGAGCAGTGACGGCCTTCGTCTCCTCCCACTTGTTTTACTTCCGTCTTTACACAAAATACCAACTGTCAAACAACGTCAGCATTTATTCATTTAGGATCACTTTGTTTACAGTGCTGGGAAACAGAGCAGTTGAGAGAATGGAATGGAATAGAATAGAATAGAATAGAATAGAATAGAATAGAATAGCCCTTTGTCGTCTCAAAAGGGGGAATATTAAGCAGCAGCATGTCAAAGGTAAGGGGCATGCATAATCAGGTTGAAAAAAAATCTAACAATAAGAAAGGACAAGTTACAACATGAGAAAACCAATAGTGTATAGTAAATTAGGAAAACCATGCTCAAATCAAAAGATAAGAATGTGCAGCACAGCATAGTGAGAAGAGAAACTGCAAATAATATATATACACGGGCATTTATGTTTCTTAGGATCAGTAATGGTTATAACATTAAGAAAATACACGCACAATTTGAAACAAAAATCTAAATTACTTCATTTGTACAAATACATCCAAAATACACACACTTTTGGTATGTATAAATTACTTCATTTGTACAAATACATCCAAAATACATGCGTTTTTGGTGTTTTTGGTAGTTTATGCATTGTATATTGTGAGTGTGAAAGGCATTTTGCTGATAAATGCTATTGTTTTTCTTCATTTGCGTCCTGTGACCTGGAGGGTCTGGTTCTCTTACTGTGTCAGTGGTAGATTTGTTCCAGAAAAAGCCAGACCAAATTTTTTCATATGTTGCACAAATAATCTTTAATCTATTTATAAGAAATAATAATATCAATGATGATAATAATAACATAACCAAATGAACTAAATGGGAGCCTTCTTTCACTGAGTTGTTTGTCAAAGCAAACTGTTTAAACTAAAAAGTTTCAAATTAGATTGTGAAATTACAGTTACAGTCATATAAACCCTGAAATTCATTGAGAACCTAATGTCTTTACGTTTACATGTCAGCCAATGAAGAGATGTGACGGAAAATGACAAAAAAGTGAAAAACAAAAAAAGTAGAAATTGACATGTTTAGCAATCAATCTTTGATAAATGTTTGTCACTGGCTAGTCATAGCCCTAGTGAGTCTAAATATTGCAGCTATTGCTGTAGAATGTCACATTTGTCACTGAAACCTGATAAATGTTTCAGTGATAAAACATTTATCACTGAAATGATAAATTTGAGAGAGAATATTCTGCCACAAAACAATCTGCTGTTCAGCTTATTTTATTTTTCACAATGCTCTGATTTTGAAACTGGGATCAAACAGTTGTGGGGTTTACGCAGGATCATAATATCTAATAAATAAATATGTGCAATTATTTTTAATAAAATGAGGCAATTCAGGCAAGTCAATTTCAGAAGAAAAGTGTTTATTACAAGAACAACTTGAAAGCATTTTAAGAATTAGAAAAAAAACTTTTTTCAGTATCGCTTTTGCGTACTTACATAGTACACAAGATCAAGCAATCTGTACATCTTCATCTTTTTTTTTGGGGGGGGGGGAAATGGCATCACATCACAAACATTCAGGTTTCACCGATTTAGATTAAAGACAAGTGAGAGTCCGAGTCTCATGACATTTCAAAATGGTGAGCACAAAAAGCAGGCTTTTCAAAAATTTTAATAATGAATTCCATGAATCTCAACAATTTTTTCATGCTTTCTTGATGTCACAGCTTATGTGATTGGTAGGTTTAGACTACCAGTAAAATTAATATTTAAATGCATCAAAACAAATTTGAAATTCAACAAATTAAAACATAGGTAACAATAAGTTTGTACAAGTAAAACCTATGGCTCCAACAAGACTGACGCAGACTAAATTATTTAAGGCTATGAGTATTTTTAAAAGTTAAAAACTAAGCCAAATATTAATTTTTAAAAGGGTTGTTCCATTTTTGTTGGTGGCAATATTTCAACAGATTCCCTCATATTGCTGGATTCTCCAAATCCCGTTCACCTTCAGTCTACTGGACACAGAGGTCATCTGAGCCCAGTCAGAGCTGACAACATAAATAAATAAATTAGATCAGCATCCTTTCCTTCTTTATTCCAACTCTATACATATTACCATACCATATGTACATACATACATACACACAATCTCCACACTTTCTTTGTAGCCCATTCACTTACAGTGTGCTGCAAAAACATGCATATATTCCACATTATTCACACTAAAACCCTCAATATAAGATGTTTTGAAGTCTCAAGAAAAGCTTTTATACTTTCAAATTAATTTTACAAAAGTTGCACCTCTTGATTACATAAAACGGTATTGTTGTTGCTTCTGGAGTCTGGTGTCCTGTCCTGGTGTAACAGCAGCTTGAAAACAAAAGAAAACCTCCATATCCAGTTACACATCAATTATTCAAGCCTTTTGCAGACACTCGAGTTTGCGCCTTGCTTCATCCATTTGTTTCCATTGGGTCATTCCATCGTTATTGGTTCTAATCAGCATCAGATCATGACAATATAAGCAAATGCAAGAAAAAAATACAACAAATGTCTATTTTAGCCACTAGATGTCACCACCAGTTTGTTTAATTGCCACCACAGTCAGCCTGGAATACATTAGGATTTCTCACAGAGTGTAAAAAATTTAATGTACAATTAAAGTAGCCAATGTTCTTCAGATTCGTTCAAACATTCCCATTAAATACTTTCAATTTATTTCACAATAAACACTAAGTTATGGTAATGTAGTGTTACTGAATTCAAGCTACAAAAACATTCAAAAATAAATTCATGACAAAACATTTAAGGCAAAGGGAGTTTTCAAGGCATTTTCCAACACCATATATGAATTGCATAGCTAAGGCATGATGGGCCTTATTACAGCAAAGTATGTACATTAAAACTGTATATTCCATGCCTTGTATTTACAAAAACACCCACCCAGCATGTATTTACACATTCATTCTCGTCAGCGTGCGATTCCTGCTGCCCATACATATTAAACGCTGAACACCAGAGTGCTGTTTGGTCAAAGAAGGAGCTTTCAACTTTCCGTTTCAGTGACAATGACGCAATTAACACAAATCTCTTTATATTTTTCATAATTCGGCCATTTAAAAGTATAAATTAAAACCATATTCTCCATTAAAATAGTCAAATTAGACACAAATTGAGAATTAAATAAATATTATTAACCTGGAATATAATGACTGACTGCTATACAGAAATTAGTTGATTGATAATTTATGCATCACAAGGTCAGCTGAATCTGTGTTGAGTATGCATGTTACACAATGAGTAAAATGCATGTATTTATGTACTAAACCTCCTATTAGCATCAGTAATGTGTAGAATCCTACAGTTTTAGTACCAGTATTCTGACTACTAACATAAACTGAGAGACGATGACTAACTGCAGCAGAAAAGGTCCATTTGACCACAGGTTTAGTGTTAGTGCAGTTTTATAAAGCTGACGGTTCTAATACATGGCACTTAACCATGCCCTGTGGTGCGGCACATGGCAGCACATATGTTCTTTCTATCTCAGGATGTCAACTGTGAGAATGTGAGCAGCTAGGGAAAAAAAAACACTATGATTGGCAAAAACAGCCCCATGCAAACAAAGTCATAATAAAAATAAAGACCATTCCTTTGGTAATAAAGAATTTGGCTTGAGTGCAAAAAAAGCAAAATGGATCCCAACAGGAAAACAACGGAGATACAGCAAGAAACATGTTAGTGACCGAAATCAGATGATTTACAGCTTGACCAGCCAAGGTGAATTCAATCTGGTTATCGAACTATAGACACTAAATAAGTTGAGTTAAGCCATAGGACTAGAGCTTAAGTTACTGACAATAAAGGACTCAAACTTAAAGTTTGAGTTTATAATTTACAAAACTCTTTCCTACACAACCATTTTGGCTATTCTCAAAAACTAGACCTTGGTAGGTGCAACTCATGTCGTTCGTTTTGAAATTGTGAAGTTTGGGTCATTTTGTGCGAAAAGACTAAATCACAGAAGTGAGTCTTCCGCATCAGGACGTCAATCTATGCCTGGCTTGAGGATCTTTTGGCATATTGGCAAAAAAAAAAAAAAACTACTCAGAGCTCACTTCAGTAGGTACGAAGAAGGCTAATCATCAAATAGTAAAGCTGCTCATTTTCACACTTTTGGGTTTTTAATCTCTGTCTGCCATGGAAAATGTGGGTTCTAGAAATAATATCTGTCTTTAGGAAATACTCAAGTTAGTATTAGCATCTATAATATTACCAATATTACTAATGATACTAAAGACAGTCATTAGCTTGTTAAGATGTGTGTTTTACATTAATAAAACCCTGTTTTACAGCAACTGTTGTATTCGTAACATTAATTTTTAGAGTTGTTGAAATACTAACTTCTCATAAGAAACAAATATTTGTATTGGCAGGTCAAAGCTTTCTGAAATTCAGAGATCAGACATCAGCCACAATTCTTTTATCTGTGCATCTTTAAAAAAAATCTTAATGAAAAGTTGTTTAACATGCAGTGACAACAGTTTTTAGCCCAAAAGTAAGTCTTTTTTCAATTACACAGTAGTCAAAGAGCCTGCTGCAGCAATCAGTTTTGTGCTATAGCTTCAGTGTCTAGGCTTCCCTGTGCAGGGTAGGAGCAGTCTTTGTTGCCTACGGCTGGAGAGTGAGACTGAGGATGGATCATGTCTGTGAAGTTCTGGTGTAAGTTCTTGCATGAAGCAGGATGGGAGGTCTTACGTGACAGTGGCGGCGTATTGCAAGGAGACAGAGTTTTGTTAGTGAGAACATTTTTGTGTCTGACAGGTGTGGGGATTCGCGAGGGGGTGTTCTGCAGCCTATCGTCAGTACGAGGCCTCAACTTTACACCCGGTTTGAGCTCGGAGATCGAGACTTCATTGCTTTGTCCATTTTCCCCATTGGTTATTTTTAAAGATGTTGGAGGAGACCCGGAGCGGGATTCACTCAAGCTGAAGGACATCGAGGAGTTTTCACTTGAGGAATCCTGGAAAGAGCAGTCCTCTGATGGTGCAAGGGGTACAGGTGATGCACGACCCTCTGGAGGCAGGAGGTTATCACTGTTGCCACCATTTTCAAGATCATATGGTAGATTAGGCAGGTGATTTTCGAGGGGAACATCTCCTTCTGTCACTGAGCTCAAGTCAAGTGGACATTTTTGAACTGAGAGCCCACCTGTAGGAGAACATCCATGTTCTCCATTCATATTTCTGCTATCTATAGCAGGTTGGGAGGGGATATGATTCATTAGCTCATCGGACTTAGTATCTCTAAGGCCAGGCAAAGAAGCTGGAGCTTCCCTTTTCTCTACCAAGCTAGAAATTTCGGGGAGTTTCTTGAGAGCACCTTTCCGCTCCCCCCAGTGTTCACGCTCCGTGTGGCCCAAACCATCAAGTTGTCCAAGATTTTGTCCATAAAGTATATTTAAAGGGTCCTCTGGTGGGAAGTGTTGGAGGTTAGTCCTCTTGGATTGCTTGAGGTAAGGCAGACTTCCAATCTTTGCACCCACATTTAGGGAAGAAGTGGAGGAGTTAGAGGAAGAAGAAGCAGAATCAGACAGAGCAGGCTCAGTGAGTGCATGTGCTACCTGCAGTGTTGCTCTTCCTACAGCCTTACCAGTAAAATTCCCCTTGACCTGCTGAGAATTGGCCAGAAACTCAGCCTCGAAGCTGCGATAGAGGTCCTGTTCTTTCTGAGGGTCAAATGGTGGCAGTATTTGATAGCCTAACCCAGGCCCGTCCTCTTCATCCTCCTGGTTCTCCATGTGAGAAATGTTTTTAAGGTGGCCTCGCACAGCTGATCGAGGAGCCTGTGAGAGTCGAGGGGAGCGGGTAGCACAGCTGTTAGAGTTACGAGGAGATGAGTGTGGTGGACGTCGCCCTCCGGAGGTGACAGGGGGTAGCAGCTTGCCTTTTCCTGTTGATGGTGAACGGGGCACTTGGGGTCTAGGAGTAGTGACAGTCTTCTTGACAGGGCTGCCGTTGTTGCTTTGGACTCCTTTAATTGGCGAGTTGTTGCATGAGAATGACTGCTTCTTACTGAAGGCAACACCCCCTCTAGGAGAGCATGGGGCTACCTGTTTAGACAGATCTGCTTGTCTTTCTGAAGGTGGGCGCTGGGAAGTTCGAGGAGAGGAACAGTGTGCAGGGCTGCCATCGCTTGACAAAGTGCTGCTTGTTAACTTACTCTGGCTGTGAGAACGAGGAACATGGAGCCTCCTTGGACCTTCATTTCCAACAGAGCGCCCTCTGTCTGTCCGAGACGTCCGTGTACCATCAGAAGATCCTGTTGGTGGGTTGGGTTTTAGTGTTGGTGGAAGCGAAGAACGCTCCCGCGACTGGCTGCGTGCACGGGGCGTCGAGGAACATGTGGATGGGGTTTGACTGCCTGCTCCTGCTCTCTCAATCATATGCTTTCCTTCCTTGCGGTTGACAAGCAGTACCACTTGTTCACCGGAGCGTCGTGAAGGGCCACCGAGTGACTGCCGCCCGCCACCCCCTCCTCCTTTAGAGGAGGCTGTGGAAGAGTCACTGTCTCCAGAGAGACGTCTTGTCAACGTTTCTTTATTCCTGCGTGTGAAGCAGACAGTGATTCAAAATAAAGTAACACCTAAAGTCCATTACATTTCTATCTCAACATTCAAACTTTACTTACACACTGCCTCACACGAAACACATGAAAACAATAACGTTTTTGTAGGTTTATTGTAAAGTGGCATAACTAAACAGTGCTGTTCAAACATGTTCAAATCTTGGGATATTGTTTAGAACCTAACCCTGCTTCAAACTTCTCTAGAAGGCTAGCCGGAAAGGTCTGTTGTTTTGTCTGGTAGCACTGTGTTATGTTTAGGAGGTCAAAGTGAATGAGACTGAAGTACCAAACTTTAGAGATTTTTATGTGTAAAAGTAATCATGTAGTATCAAAACAAAGTACATGTGCTAGCATTGGCAGTGATTTGATCAAACTACCAAATTCTGGTTTACTGGGAAAGACCAATCCATTACTGTCTTTATAATCTATTGAACTATGTATAATAATCTGAACTTTATGGTCAGTATTTTCCTATAAGGGAAGTGCAGCACATCAGAGAATGTGGTTTCTGTCTACCAAGAAAAAAAGAAACATTCACCATCCCACAATGTTGTCCCTATGATAATTATATGAATGAAAATGGAGGGGAGAAAAAAGGTGAAGTTACTTTAACAAAATGTTGTCTACCTTCTATCCACAAGAGGGAGCTACAGAGTGATGCAGAGACGGATTTATCAACGCAATGTCACCTGAGATTAGATAAATCTGCTCCGGTCTAATCTGTGGTTTCCTGGCATGTGTATTCACTGTGTGTAAGTCTCACTCTCTGTGTGTCCATCTGTGTACACCACAGAGTGGGCAGCAGAAGCGGAGCATGCTCAGTGAGGACACCTGTAAAACCCTGTATCTGACTTATCCGCACACCTGCACAGAGGTGAAGACACTCACCTGAGAGGATTAAAGTGGCGCGGCTCCGAGCGATCTCTTTGCGGCTTAGGGAGCAGAGTTCGAGCTCCAGCGGCGTCCACCTCGTTAAAGACGGATGAATTTTGGGATCGACCAGGTCGTGTGGAGGAAGAGGATACACTTGGAGCGGAGGGAGGCTCCAAGGAGCGCCTGTCGTTGGGTTTGTAAGTCGAAATGCCCTCATTCCTCCAGTGTGGACCTGGGCTGGTGGAGCGGGAGGAGTGGGCACTAGAGGACTTGCTCTGGGCTCCCTGGCTTTGACCACTTGCTTTAGCCTGGTGGTAGCGGTGAGCTGAGTGGGAAGACACATTAAACTTTTAGCCAACAGTGACTAAGAGCTTATACGATTAAGTTTGTGGTTGGGAACTATACCACATCACACTGAGACCTGAGAAACAGTTGAGGAAATGAAGTTGCTGCTTCACACAGACGAGCTGCTGATAAACTACTCAGTAAAAGCAGTTTGACAAGTTTAACAAGATAGCAGGAAAAAAAACTATCTTTCCATTGCTTCTTGTGGTTCAAGGCAAAACAGTCTGTGTCAGCTATAAAGATACTGATCCTTTGACTCTTTAGCAGCATTTTGGCTTAAGATGGTAGGCCTCACCCAGCATTGCTATGTACATACTTTGCAAATGATTGCCTCAAGTAACATTTAAAAATTATGACAAGTCAGAAGTTTAAAAGAACAAAATGTCACACTGCAGGTTAAAATGTTGTAACCACTCAATAATGTACATAAACTGTTGAAAACAAATGAACCTGCATTTTTTAGGCCTTTTCTGCATTCTTAGTTTCACTTATAGATTTTTCTGAAATTACTTGGATCTTATAAATCTAGGTCCTTTTCATGTTTTCATGTGCAGTGACATATTTCACTGTCTTCCAGTGTAAATTCTCACAGAGTGGCAAACCCATTCCTGTTATTTTTCTTTTCTGACTTGTTTACCGTTGTCTTAATTAGTTGATGAGTGGTTTTATTATGTGCATCCTGTAGCGTTACAAAACATTTCCAGCCCTTCTGGAGCTTTGGGAGTACTGGTCACATGTTACAAGATTTGAGCTCTTTGACTATTTTTCTTTGCTGATTCAAAAAGCTGAACTAGTTTCTTTGTAAGATGTCAAGATCTGCTTTAGCCAGCTGGAAAAAAAAATCTTTAATTTACACCAGAACAAACTAAAATGTTTCACAAAACATTAAGGATTACAAATCAGACGTGTGTAGGAACTCGAGCAGCTTAAAAAAAAGTTGCAATATTAAAAAGTTACATTTATTTAAAAGGGATTGTAAGGAATTAAAACAATTTTGCCATCAATAAATTTGTCAAAATTTATTGTAATGGATTTTTTTCCCCTCACTAAATACATGTATTCAAAATAAAGACAGACATTTCAGTTTCTGTAATAAAAGATTCAGTTATTTACAGGCTTTTCCAACATTTTTTATTCAGGTTATTCTGTATATTCTCAAACATCTAAAGTAGTTCAGAGTTATACCATTTCTCAGAGTAGTTTTTTGTGTGCAACTGGTAAACTGGTATAGTGTTCGTGAAACTTAGAAATAACTTTATTATTTTACTTTAAAGACTTCTAAAGGCTGCTTTAATAGCTTGTGTGCTTTGTGGTCAAAAAAGCTGGTGAATGACAGGGTTGGCATGACTCACGTTGCACATGTGCATTGTGGGTCAGTGTGGGCAGTGGAGGGACTGCGTATTTTAAATGGCAGGTTGGTAGCATTTCCCAAACCTACATGTTTTTTAATCAGAATGTAATTGTAGACAAGGTTCACTGTGACGCAGACTGGCTAAACAACCTCAGGTGTCTGAGTCCGTAAAACTGAAAAAGAGGAATTAATGCAATGACAGAGTTTATCCAACATCTCCGACATTTACAGTTAGACATAAAACCGCACGAGTTTTATTCATTATGTAACACACAAACAATAAAACTCTTTTGCAAGGGACAAAAGGAGAGCAGGAAGTGACCTCACCGAACGCAGCACAGCGACACGGATCATGCTTGTCCAAATAGTGCTCCAACGTGTCCCAGCCCCCTCCGACACGCACCATCACATGAGTCCGGAGGACCTGGGGGACAGGAAGAGAAAACAAGGCTTCATTAGATGATGGGAATGGAGCAGACATGCATATTCAAACACAAATAAACCTGATTTAACACAAAACTCCATTGATATGGAAATTTTACAAGCGGGGCCGTTTGTTGAAGGCGGGCAGGCGGAACCTCAGTGTTACATAAAGTCTGGATTCTCCCTTTCCTCTCACTTCCCTGCCACTCCTTCCTCTGTACATCACCCCCCACTGCTGCCATTTAAAGGGTTGTTTATGATTAAGCGAAGTGAAGCAGCATAATAAAAAGCCATGGCATATTCTCCATTTGGGATTTCTACAGGATGATTTGCACTGTATTAAGTTTCTTCTGCTGCCCGCTTGTCTCCCTAACAGAGATTTTATTTTTCAGGAGCAATTAGAAAAAGGGGGAGGTGGGAAAGCTAAGAGAGGAGGGTTTGGGGTGTATGTCACTTTCCCCTCCCTCACGTGCTTCTTAGCATACACCCACAACATCAGGCCGAGAAGCCTCTCTCCCTCCAGGCAGAGGCCGCCTTCGTTGAAGTTGCACATTTCCCTTGATGTGACAGCTCTGTGGATGCAGCCCGCTCCCTGGGGTTGTGTAACACAGTCTGTCTGCCACATGTTTCAAAGGTTGCTTTCCCCCTGAATGCGAGGGCATCCACGGCAATCCATACAGTAAATCTGAGTGAGGTGGCACAGAGTTTATTTAGTTTGCATTCACCCACGTGGCTCTGAATCTTATCTGCATGACTGTGGTCAAAAAGAGAAGGCAGGCAACAGATGAACCCTACAGTCTGACCCCCACCTCTCCTCCATTGCAATCCCAGAGGCTGCTGTGACTTTGTTTCCTCTGCCTCGGTGCCCTTCTACATGAAATCCATCAAAACAGCTCATCTGCTTATCTCTATCAAACCAGTGGCTATAAACTGCTTACTCACCACTGCTTTGACCTCCTGCCAGTAACAGGTTTACTGTCTGTGTGATGCAGTGTGACCACCATGAGCCAGCAGCACAAAGCCAGATACACGTGGTCCAAAACACGGCATCATATTTTAAGCATCTCTGTCGTCAGGCACGGACGATACATGGAAGACATCAGCTGAAGAAGATTTGTGTTCTTTCTCACTCATGCATATTTGTTTTATGTTTGAATATGTCTGTCGAACTTGTTTGTTGTTATTTTATCTCAGTGAGTGTCTGTGATAATGGAACCAGCAGCTGGGAATAAGGCTTCAGTGAAGAGCACATATGAAAAGCCTTTTACATTGTTGTCATTTTGCTGGAGAATAAATCACTGCACTATGGAAGAATTAATCATTAACACAGAAGTAGTACTAAATGATAAAATAATAAAAGAGGCTGGACCTTGCAAAAGTATTGATACCCTTTCCAGAATTTAACAGACTTAAAAAGTTTAAAAGTTTGAGGCACTCTTCATCCAATCTGATTGATTTTGGGCTTTTTTTTCCTACAAAGATGATGATGATCCTCCAAGATATACAGAAACAAAATACTTAATACTTTGGAGTTTGCGTTTGTAACATAAGAATATGTGAATAAGTTTAAACTATTAATTCCTTCATACATCATCATTGTGCTTCACTTGTCTGCTCATGTAACGACTGTCTCCCTCTGATCATTATACATACATGATGCATCGGCATCACTGAGGAGTTTACCCCCCGGTTGGCTGCTTGTGAAGGAACCGTGTTCCACTTCAGAAGTGCGGCTCAGCTGCCTGCTTCACAGACTGCTGAGGGGCTTCACGGGCTTTTTTAAGACCACAGAGACACAATCCCTGCTTCTATGGGAACAGCGAACAGAGAGGCTACTTGTCAGCTTTGCTGAGGCGTGTTCAACCACTGTCCTGATATGAAACTCGTGGTTCATTTCAGCTGTTGTTCTCGATGACTGGAGCCTCTCCTCCCACTGAAAAGTAACCCACACCCTAAGGACAAAAACATCCCATCACCCACCACCCCTCCGCTCACAGGGTGATGTTTGCTTTCATGACTTCATCCCGCTTTAGTGTGAGATCCTTGTCACAGCTTTAGCTGAATAGGAGTTTGTAGGCAGCTAAAGCCTTTTAAATCACAGGAGAGGAATAAAGGAAGTGTGTTGGGTGCACTTGGCGCTGCTTAGGCAAGTGCATATTCACTGTCATCCGCGGTGATGAATCAGCAGACGAAGGAAACGGCAGGAAGAGAGCCAGTCTGACAAGTCAAAGGCTCCGAGACATGAAAACAATCACAAACCCCAATGCCACCTCAAGTATGATTCTTGAACTGAAATGACTTCTTAAAGAGACAAACACTAAAAAAGCAATTATGTCTGGAAATACAGGGAGGAGTAGGATTTTCTTCTTAGCTTATGGTAAAATTATACTGTTAGCTGGTTTGTTCTTAAATACTCACAAATGATTGCTTTACTTTGGGAAAAAAAAGCGCAAAAAAATTTACCTGCATCAAATTCTGGATCTTTCTTCCAAAATTATGTCAATACTGGATGTTGGCATGAAAAAAAATAGAAAATCCTCTCTCTGTGACATTTTAAAAAAAGCATCTTAGTCAAAATGAAAGTCAATCTTCAAGCATTTTTACTCTTTGTAACTCCTAAGGTAAACTGCTGTCTAAAAGAAGACTAAATGTTTGAAGAGGAAAGCGATGAGCACCATAAAGGAAATTTTTCAGTTTAATTCTGATTAAATAAGCTTTACAAGCAACATTTCAAGAAATTAATAGAAACAGCCTTTACTAAAACACACTTTGAGTTCTACAAATGTAGTAAAAGTGTTATGTAAAAAAAAGTTTGTGTCTTTTTTTATGTAAGTTATGTAAATATTGACTTTCACCTGTAAATATTATTTGAAACCTGTGTGTATTTTCTGTGATTCAAGATTCATTTGAAAGGTTTTACGTAAAACATCTTGGACTGATAAAGGCAAAACAAATTCATTCCATGGACATAATTATACACTGAAACAAAAAAATACATATTTGCCTCATTTTGTCAGCATTTTAAATGATCTTTCTGATGTATTTTACCAGCAGAAGGAAAAAGTCCAAATTATATCTAATAATATTGGTACAGATTACTGCATCTTTATAAATTCAAAAGGTAAAACTGAATCTACTGATTGTGCACTAACAATTTTCAACTTTCATAACTGTTTGTAACACAAACAGTTATGGTTGTTTGTGTTACAAGTTGCAAACTGTAACTCAAAATAGAAAATAGTAAGTAAAATACATTACAACCCATTGGATATTATATTGAAGGCAAAGACCAAATGGTGCCACCAGAAATGATAAATAATGCTAGAACTTGCAGCCAAAGAGTCTGATAGTGTAATTTAAATACATGGAAACTAGAAAACCATCCAAAGAGTCCATTAATCTGGCTCCGGTGCATCTGAGGAAGGCGAGACCAAATCGATCTCTTCTGAACTGGCCTTCCTGTAATATGCCCAGAGGAATGGTAAGGATACGTTACCAACTCCCAAACTCGGAGAAACATGACAACAGTCCGACAGCTTCAGTCAAGATAAGGAGAGCGCAGGAAATGACCTAACGCTCTATTTGCGTCTGCGTAGAAAAGGTTGCTTCCTGGGTGTGGGCCAGAGAAATGCAGCTTGTAAAAACTCTCATAAGACAAAGAAATCACAGTGCTGCTACATGAAAGCACTTTAAAGTGGTTTGAATTAGCCAAGCAGCTGAGTTCTGTTGCTTCATAACCCTTGGAACAACACATGATGCCATATGTTGGCACCATACGGTTCCACTTAATTACTGAACCTCTTCAGTGCCAAATATAGCAGCAGAATGATTGTAACTTACAGCATTTATGATCTGTGCTTCAGTTTTACTGTTTTATTTAGTGTATGTCAGTAACTCAATTTCACTATGACAAAGTATTAGGGACAGACAGTTGGAGGAAAAAATGCAAAGGAAATATTTTTTTATTGCTTATTTGTTTTGTGATTAAATTGTGAAATTAAATGTACAAAAGAGAGAGAGAGAGGGAGAGAGAGAGAGAAAGGCAAAGCAATGAGATGAAAACTGAAAATGTTTCATCAAAGCTAAAAGGACGAGAAGAAAGTCAGGGTGACAAGAGAGAAAAATATCAAGAATAAAGTTGAAACAACACTGGAGCAAAGACCTGCAACAATCACAGCATATGTAAATGAGCTATCACTGTAGAACAGGATTTATTAACAAAACGTGTTCTCTTAAACATAGTGGATGCAGTCTCTTAATCAAGATGGATGTTGACTCGACGCTGACCAAACCTGGTTTCAGAGAACGCAGCAGTTTCAGGATTTTGCCATTTCTTTAAGATTTTATTTTCTCTTTATTGTCAATATTGTCAATAAAGAATGTATTGTGAAGAGTGGCCCTAAAGCATATAGCATACTTCTGATATCTGTCAGTATATTAAGCACAATGACAGAAATTCCTTTCAGAAGAAATAATACTACCATGTCCTAATAGGGACATTTTAAAGTTTATTCCGTCCACCAAATCTCAATGTACCTCTAAGCTTTATAAGAGACACATTCCCTGTCTAGCTATTCTGTGGGATTAAATAAAGTCACTTGAGGTTACCCAAGTTTTCTCTGAAGAGTATAACTCTCAGATGGACTCAGATGTGGTTGTAAATAACTTTTTATTTCGACATTATAGAGCGTGTACAGACATAGCTCCAATAAAGACACCCACAATAGTTATCTTGCACAATATTCCGTACAGTCATTATGATGAAATTTATATTTCACTGTTTCGTTAAAGACAGGAGAGCTGGATGCCATTTATCATTTTAACCCGGCTATCATCAAAAGGCAGGAATACACTTTATTGTTTTAGTTTGTTCATTCGTCTTCGTGCAATCATAGAAATTCAATCAAGTTTTAAAGTAAACATTTAATTGTTGGCTCATATCAAATAGAGAAGAACTCATCCAGTAACTATTTAGCAAAGCTTGTGAAACTCAAGCTAATAAAATATGTGTTCAAAGTTACATATGTACTGCACATTCAAGGGCAAAAGTAAAACATAAAACAGTTTGATAAACAGCAACTCCAATAGATTGGACCTACCCTGATGAAGATCAGCGCACTGGAGTCTCCTACTTTGTACTTCCCTTCGGACACTTTAATCATAGGAAACTGAGCTGGACAGGAACACTGGCCAAGGATTTCACGTACCTGATGAGAACAAAAAAAGGGGAAAAAAACACATTTTAACAATGATGATGACTTACAAAGGTGACACATATATGAGGGGGAGCCTGACAGAGATGCCTTCCTGTTCTTTGAGGCAATCGTGTTTAGTCATAATTATGTGTAATTGGGGATTAAAGCACTGCTAGACAAGACAAGAGTGCAATAGCATAACAATGACTCTCCTTCACAGTGTGAGAAATGAACAGTCTCTTGGCTGCCAGAGAGTTAAGAGGATGTTGGACAGTCATCTTCCTGCCAAATCTCCTCTCCAAGCACCTCCTCAGTGATAAACCGCTGTGCCTGGCTGTCTTATCATAATAAAAGCGTCTCTCATCTAATCCTATTACACAGTTATGGTTTTTGAGCTCACCACAAAAAGTCTCAAAAACACATTTCAGTGAACTTTCTCTCACTCTGAGCAACATATTCTCTTCTTGTGGCATCATGAACCTAAAGGGTTAAAAACAAAAACAAAAGCCCAGAGCGCTGAGTGGTGGTGGAGATGATGATGATGATGTAAGCAGGCCGGTGTTGCCAGCTGGGATCTGAATCGGGAGTCAGAGCCGGCGCCCTTGCTGTGGTCGGAGGGGGTGCTTATTAGGCAACCAGGAGTCAGACACAACTGCAGGGCGGAGTTGCAGCCCTCTGCTGCACATGCTGGAGCTCTGTCTGGATTGGACAGCCTGCATGTTTGCCTTGGCGTCTCTCTCTCAGACAAAGGCGTGTGCACACTTGTTGACAAGGAGGTAGAGAAAGTGGAGCACCGAAGGGGCGGAAAGCACAGGAGGACAGGATCAGTAAATGCCTCTTAACTTAGTGTGCAAGGACAACAGACTGAGGTACACTGAAATAATGAAATTACATGCTGGAAGAAGATTGTGGGTTACGAGCTTTTAAACTCTAGATGTTTACAGCACCTTTCATGAAGTACATCAGGCTTTAGGGATATACTTTGCTTCTAGCAAACAGCACCTTGTTATTTTCTTTAAGTGGCATCCTTCTTTTATCCAATGCTAATTAAAGAGGGGCGACTCGACGCACTAAGACTCTGCATCTCACCTGCAGCTACGTTCTCCGTTTCACCTGCTCCACTGAAGCCTCAGCTGACTGTTTCACTCTTTCATCCTCTCTGCACATTTTTTAAGTCTCTTTGCTGGTTGATTTGGTTAATATGAGGATAAAGTTCATGCATCATATTTTAGTGTCAGAAAAAAATGAAGATATTGAAAGTATGAAGCCCAAATTGATCAAACTCAGATTTTTCTTTGCTTTTCAAAGCATGTTAATATTTTAATATGTTAATATTAAACAAAAAAACATGGTCGAGCTCCATCAAGGCAAAAAAGTCAGGATGGCAAATTTCTCCTGAAAGCCTTAAAAACTGTTTTGCTCCATGTTTACATATTTAGTAAATATTATATCTAAAAAAATATTAAACTATATACTGATGTCAGTCAAGGCATTTATGGACCATTTACACATTATTTAGTTGGACGTCCCTGAAAAAATCCTCACTATACAGCTGGAAGAGTCTTTTTAGATCCAAATACAATGTGAGAAAAACTAACTGCAGACAGACTGACAGAGTGGTGAAATAGACAGCACCTTTAGAATGATGTTTTGTTAACATTACTGTGATGTTGAAAACCTCCAGGAGTAAAGCATGAGCTGATTACATGTGGAAGTGTGTGACTTGGTGACAGTTGGAGGAACATGCTGATGCACATTTGTGAATATCAGAGTAATGATGGTCAGAACAGGAGCAAAAATTAAATCTTTGTGAATGCTGGCATGATTTTGGTGTTACAGGTGACTGTTCACCACAATGATGAGCTACAGGAAGGTTCTGTTCACCAAGAGCGCCTTCAAATGGTTTTTAGCATCCCAAGCTACTGCCCTTAGACATTGCTCATGAATTTTCCTCACTGGAAACATTGCAACATATTTCTTCACGTTTTGAACCCAAATTCAAACTGCAGACATTCCTGTCGCTACTTTTTTCCTGGATGTAGTTATTTTCTGGGATAGTGGCTCAAACATATAACATCATCACTTTCAGCTGTTTTCTCAGCTGCCTGCTTGTTTTTTTTTTTTTTTTTCCTTTCCTGCCATTTTACATATTTCCTTGTTTCTGTCATGGAAATGAATGTAACTATCACGAACAACTGAACAGAAAACGTAGAGCTGTTAAAATGATTATATACCATTTATTATTTTTGTTGTTGTTTTGCTTGGGCCTTCACTCTTTCTCTGCTACCCTTTCTATTATTCAGTTTCATAAAATGACCAGCCCATTATGGAAAAACTGCAACCGGTGAGTTAATGGAAAGATTGCTATAACAACCAACACAAACACACACACAGCCTCACTGTTCCTTATTTCACTGTGCAGTGAGTGCTCACCTCAACTGAGGTCATGGATTTTTTCAAGGGAGGAGCACCACGACTCACACTGAGCCTCACATGAAGAACAGAGCAGGAAAATGAACAATAACATCTCTAAATGATAACCTAATCAATAAACACTTTGACAGTTTAAGTGTTTAGATTATAGACTATTTGGTGTGAAGTGAGTGCAGCTTCCCATGTCGTCACTGTGTCAACACGACTGGAAATACTGAAACTAAAGCATAAATTCACACACACACACACACCCACACACACACAGCCTGCAGAAGGAGATGGAAGGGGAGGAGTGAGAAAAGGTCAGCCATGAAATATGCGGAAGTGAGCAGGAACGCTGAGAAACACTATGGGAGGAATTACAGACCCAGATGATCCAGATGAGAGACAATTTCAGCAAGAGTTGCAGATGTTTGAGAGAGAAAAGGAAAGAGTGACTGAACATTAGATCACACGCCCCCAGTGCCCTTTTCTTAGAACCTCCTGTTTCTATCTTAAGATAAGCAATGCGGACGTGTTTTCCGTATGAACAGAAAGAGAAGTGAGTGATGTTCGCTTAAAGCCGAGCCTCTGTATTTGTCCTCAGATCGTTTCAGGTATAATTAACATTCCTTTAAAAATGCCTCTGCTCAGATCACGTTATATCTGCCCAGCGTGAGTAAACAATCTCCTAATTTTTTTTCCTTCCTGACCTGCAAACTTCTAAGGGCCCATTGATGACAGAGATAGGCAGACAGAACCCTTGGGGGGAGTGCAGGAAACAGAACAGGAGGAGATAAAAAGCTGTTTGGGTTTTACTACCCATTTTCTTTATTGATTCAAGTATAGATTATACATTTAACACCACCAGATGGCCTTGAAAATAACATGATGACCAAGCAAAGCAGACTTTTGTATTCTCCAAAGTGTGTCTGCATGCAGAGGGCTTTGCAAATGTATTCCTGACCCTTGAACTTCTGAACCTTTCGTCACATTACAAACCCAAGCTCCAGTGTATTATACTGGGATCTTATGTGATAGTCCATCCGAAGATGCTTGCAGATGAAATACTGAAATACTGAAACTAAAGCATAAATTCACACACACACACACACACACACACACACACACACACACATACACACACACACACACACACACACACACACACACACACACACACACACACACGCACACACACACACACACACAGCCTGCAGAAGACAGGAGGAAGGACTACTTAGAGGAAAATCCTACACTAAGGAAAAACTTTAGGAAATTTACTAGTAATACTGATCTGTCATGCACTACTTTGACATAAAATCCCAATAAAATAAAAGTTTGTAGTTTTAATACAGCAGAACAAAAATTAACGGGGCGTTAATATGTTTGTAAAGCACTGTTTTACTGATACAGAGTTCTTGCCTGGAAGTTTGTCACACTTTGGGAAGCTCATTTTCAGTTTTGTCTCTCGTGACTCATCTTAATTTGCTAAGCGCAGTCATCAACATTAGGTGTGCCAGTCCACTCATTTTATTGGCTCATTTTATGGTTTTTCTACAGAGCACAAGTGCTGCTGCTCGCCAAACGATAAAGAACAAACATTACAATCCGCTTCAAGTTTCCTTCTTTTTGTAGGACAATGTATTAAAAACAACAAAACAGAGAATTTAAAGGGTTTTTATACATGTAGAACAAGACCCCTCTTTCTATTTATCTCTCCATGGCCTGAAGCCTGGACATTTTCCAGAAGAGGAAAAAAACATAAGCTAAGGAGAGAAAGGGGAGAGATTCAACCCGATGAGGGCACTTCCCTGGCAGAACAAACATTTTTCAGTTCTTGAACTACCATCCTACATATCTAGCTTTACTTCCCTTCACAAACACACATAATAAACCAAAATTTCTCCAATCCTGTAGCTCATAAATGCAACACAGTCTGCGCACAAATTAACTTTGTAGCCAGCATGGGGTACAGGGAGGTGCAACATTACAGCATAAATGACAATAATGTTTTCAAATGATGTTAAAGCTGTAGCCTGAGGGATGGAGCTGAAGCACAGAGTTAGTGAGGTTTGTGTAACAAGCCCAACCAGCAGAGAAGTGGCAGAAAAGCAGATGGATGGATGCCTCTGGGTCACATATGTCATTTAAAACACTCACATGGGGAGGAGGAATAGATGATATACATTGATAATGAGGTAAGAGGCTACGGTTGTTTGTGCCTTTCTGTGCAATAATGATTCATTTTGCCATCAAAGTGTAATGAAGGCGGCCTAAACGGGAGAAGATCTGAGCCATTGAGTTTATTCACGCATTCTTTGCCTTTCATATTACACAGTGTTGGTCCATCTCTTAAAAGCCCAATGAATGCATTGAGGTTTTGTGGTTGAAATCATTCAACCACGAAACCTTGATACTTATTTAAGGCTCTGTAAATATGTCCATACTCTCGCTCAATAAGTAAAAAATTGAAGCAACTCTCATTGAGGTTGCAGCCAGCAGCTGCTTAGCGAAGCAAGTCACAACAGGAGCAAAGATTGGCCCAACAAAAGTCGATGATAACCATCATTTCAACGGGTTACTTATAAACACTATCC